TTGTGGTTCAAAATAAGTAATTTTTTCAGATTTCAAGAATGAATTAATTATTTTTTTTCCTACATTGCCCTTGGAGTAAATAATGTTGGAGTATATGTTAGGGGTGTTTATGTGAAAAGATAGTAAAGGTTAATATGGTCAATTTCATTGTTAATTAATATTAAAAGGTAAATTTCTTAATATACTGTAAAAATATCCAAAAAATCACTTATTGTGGATCGGAAAAAGTATTAATGCGAGTAGAATGACAGTATAGTTTGAAGAGCATTTATTGAAGTTATTCTTGAGAGTCCCCGTCTTAAATATCTTGTTAGTAGTACCAAGAAAAGGATTATAGCTTCCACCCGGCCCCAGTATTGAGGTGTTTGGGGTGNATAGGATCAGCTTAACCACTTATGTGGGGCTTAAATATATGAACTGTTAATCAACAAGGTTTCAACTGTAACATATCGATTAGACTTAAATACACTACTTATTAGTAGGAAGATATCAACATGTAATATTAAATGCTGCTTTATTGCCTTCTCGATTAACTGTGATTCAACTACAATAACATATCTCATACCCAGTGTGTTTTGGGAAGTTAGATTATACACCGACCTTACCTTTGACTTATATTGCTCAATTAATTGTGATTAAAATATAAAATACAGCAAAGAAATCAAATGCCTATTTCAAAACAACAGAAACAAAAAGAAAATGAAGAAAGACGTTGTATCGCATACCTTTTAAAATTATGAAACTTTGTGCTGAGCATCTGGTATTTTCATAAATGAAGCCCAAAATTTGCTGAGAAAGCTCTCTTTCTTTGAAGTTTGAAGTTGGAATTCAATAAATGCATGCCGACAAAATTTACTCACATAGTATTTGATAACAAAAAGAGAAAGCTATAGGGCATTTTTGGAAAATTTTACCTTTTTTGTTTTTTCAGCATTAAAGTCTTTGGTTAGTATTGCCCGACAATAAATTAAGGTTGCGTTGGGTTGGCGCAAAATTATGTGTATTTTTTGAGATTGTGTTTGGAAGTGATGTGCATATTTTCAGAGAACAGTGCAGTCCTTGTAGAGATCTGCAACAATATCTACTTAGAAGCCTGTACTCTCTGTCCAAAATGCTCTCTAGTTTGGTACTACTACTACTACTACCACTTATTAATAATTCACTTTGGATCTTTGTACTTAAAAATCTTTGGATCCATGCCCACAACTGTACATCTGCATTTAGTATTATACACTAATTTGTACTAACATGTTCGAAATTTTGGAAATAATAATTTTTTTTTGTCTGAGAATCAAATTCATTTGGAATATTCTTTTACAAAGCAACTTGATCAACTACTGAAAAAAATGTTTAACAATTTTTATGGACTTGATGTGTAGTTATAAGTTGGTTGAATTTGTATAAAATTCATTTAAATAGTTCATTTTCAACGTGGATTAAGCCATTAAGGGTTGCATTGTCTCAAGAACTTGTAGTAAATATTCTACAATTTGGTTGTTAACCATTTAAATATATACACTCTCTAATGTAGAGTATTTCGACAAGACCAGTTCAAGTGATCTGCACCCCTCTACCTCCAACTCTAAGATTGCAATTTCGAGTAACCAAGAGAAAAAATAATTGCGGACTGCGGAGCTTATGGGGAGGGGGGGTAAAAATAATGTAGCATATTTCTAGGGCTAATATATTTATAGTTTTTGTTTTGTTTGATTTTTAAGAAAATTACTATTACTTTTAGGTAATTGGTATTTATAAGCTAGAGCTAGGTTAAGGTCTATTCTTTAGTATTATCCTCATTCTCTACTATTCTCTTGAACTATTGAAGATTGCGAAGTGACAGAAGTGTTCATGGGGCATCTCTAATGAATCTTCACACTTTACATAGCATATTAGAGGCCAATGCTACTCTCAAAAGCATATAGAAAATATAAGAGGAAAAAGTGAAAAGTAAAAATTCGAATAGATTGGGAAAAAGGTAAATGGGGAAAGGTAATAAAAGATGTCTAGATGAATAAAGAATTGATCTCTACTATTCCATCAGTGTCAATATTTAACTTAAAGGTAATAATCTTTTTTCATATCATTGATTGATAGATCACAGAAACTTTTTCATTTCAAATGATAGTTCCTCCACCGCCATTTCCCTTTGTTTTAAAATTTAAAATGATTAAAAAGTGAAAGAGAAAAAGACAAATGCCTTTATTTTTGAAATATTTTTGAATCATTTGTATCATGAGTAGTTATGATAACCCCCTGGATTTCGACAGTATAGGAGATTTGCTTTTTCCATTTAGCTTCTCCAAGTTCCAATTCCGATATATTAGTTTTTTTTTCTTTTTCTTTCTCAAAGTTAAAACGAAGCTTTACTATTCAGATAATTC